AAAAAAAAAAAAAAGTTATTGACACTGACTCAAAAGCTGACTTTCTCCCTCTCTTTTCAGCCAGCATATGTCCCAAAGAAGCTAATCCCAATAACAATCATCAAGCAAGGTAATTTGTCTGTTCTGGATAATAAGTGTTTAGAACTATTTTTAATTCACTTTTTAACTAAAATAATTAAATTTCAAATTTAATTTTCAAATAAAAAAATTTCAAATTTTTTATTGTTGTTTTCAGAAAAAGTGTGAAGAAACTAGTATGGTCTAGTAAATTAGAAATGAATAGATAATTTTGGGTCTTGTACCAATATACCAAGCCTTCTTCAACTAGGGACAAAGCAAACATAGCAAGTATTAAATTTTTAAAGGTTAGTTAAATATTTGAGGCTTTGCTCAGATTAAGTTAGCACTCATGGAGAAAACCACTAATAGGATATTTGGATTAACAAAAATGAAAACCGTGCTGAGTTCGTGGTCACTTTAGAGAAAGTAAAGATGTCCAGGTTTCAAGAATTATAATGTCTAATTGCATTTCAGTGTCCAGTTGTTTTTGTTTGGGCTTTTAGTTTTTCCAACTATTAAAATGATTCCATTATTTCCAGAAAGTTTTGTGGTAGAATAGATGGAGCCCTTAAAATAGTTCTTCATTTTAAGAAAATACAATGTTTCACTCTCAGAACAGTGTCAGTTAGCATTGGAATTACCCAAAGATTCTTTGCTTTCAGAATATATGTTTTCTAATTTTTTTTTTATTACTTGGCCATTGCCCCATTTTGTGCTAGTTCTTAATGACTTGGGGAAAGGTCAGGCTGCAGGGAATGGAGATAGGAAGATAGGAAGGAAATTTTCTGCTAATTTGAAAGAACATTTAATGATGGAATAACAGCCTTTCGTTACTTAAAGGCACAGGCAATCCTTCTGTTGGCTGTGTAGCCAACCTACTGAGTTGCTTTCAATTAATTAACAAAACTTAGATCAGGACTTTCCCAGTATAAATGACTTCACATTATTGCTGATATTACTGATTATTACTGATTATGACTTCAATCTTACTGATTCCTAAATTTTTTT